GTGGAAAAAAACTATAGGAGTTTCACAGTTAGCAAATCTACAGGTTTTGCAAAATGCTGGCCTTATTAATCTTACAACAAAAGATATGATAGAATCATCCTATGAGGTTACAGGTTGTTTCAGACATTAAACATTTATCCAGCATAGTCATATATTTTCATGTATAATACGTATTAACAGATATTTCCCAAATTTCTAACTTCAATACAGAGTGCACTTCAGAGATAAACAAATTAAAGTAATCAAATTAAGGGACCTTTAATTCCAGAGTAATTATTATTAGGATTGAGCTGTAAAATGTATTATTTGTGATGAGAATGGGAAACTCATTTATCATTAATTCCAGAAACAAAATTAAAAGAGGCCCTATTTGGAGTACCAGTATGCCTCATCTTGCAGAAATAGGTCATTATTTTATGTATTTGGGGCATCATTACTGTAATAAAACTGGAAGTGACCTAGATCTCTTAGAGTCTTTGACACAACTTGGTCCTCATATTAAGCAGTCAGAAACTTGGCATTTCTTCTCTTTGATGGTTTTTTTTAAGGAAATGGTCTTTTTTTCTTGGGTTCATGGATCCAAAGTGGGAGAATTGAAAAGGGAATTTGTCTTCTCTATGAAATTTGACCAGGAGACTTGGCCACCTCAAAAAAGGATAAAATCAAAAAAGCCATAGATAATGATGATCACCGAAGGATATGGCTTCATTGATATGGGCTTTGGTTGTTCACATTTAAATTATTGCTGTGATTTTTTGGAAGCTTTACCAGTTCCTCTTTTCTGCACCTTCTATGTTATTCCCAACTTTTGCTGACATGCATACGAAACAGTACAATTCAAAAGGCTTTACTCAGGTTGAGTACCAGCAATGGAAGGCAGGGCATGTATGTAGATGCATGCATCGTCTCAAGCAATCCTGAATTCCTGGCCAAACTTACAGGCAAATTCCTAATAAGCAAAGGTCAAAGCATTGGACAGAAGTGTTGCCAGGGTAGAATAGTAGCATCACTGTTAGATCATCGGTGGATCTGGGTCTAAAATAATAGATGAATAGAAGTTCCCAACAAGGGACTGCTTGCTAGCAAAGGCTCTAAATTGAGGACCTGTTTACTGCACGGGTCAAAAAGAGGGCTCTGAAAATATTTACAGACCCCACATATCCTGGACATAANCCCTAATCCTTCTTTTCAATAAACTAGATAAACCCAATTCCTGCATATCCTATTTCATGTACAGTAGGTACTACAATCAACAATAAACTAATTGAAAACCAATTTATGTTGTTATTGGCTTTTTCAGTAATGAGATATTCTCTTAAACAATTGTTCTTAGCTTGCATATTATACCAGTCAGGAATCTTCTTGTCAGTTTCTGATTTATTGTTTGTTCTGGTCATATGGATGAAAGGTTGAGATGATACCAAAGCTTAGCAGGGGCTGTTTTCTGTTCATGCATGCAATGCTAATCCATGCAACATGCAAATGCAGCCAACATCATTCTTACTTAAGATTCACTAGAGTCATAGTCAAAAAAAATTCTATTTTGAAATTGTGGTACATTCTGCATAACTGGTTATTTGCTATGTCCCACAACTGAAATCCATATATTTGGTTTTCAAAGCTAGTTAATTCCAAAGAACACTATAATATTTGTGAACATTTTTCACACTAGAAAATATTTTACCATTGCACAACCAGGGGGCAACATTACAGGCAGGAGAGTTAGAAAATATCCTACTTGGTTTGCAAAGCCAGGCCCTAACTGCACCTGAGCTTGTAAATATGAGCACTAGGAATAATGTCTAACAGGCTGAAGAATATATAATTGAATAATGAAAGAGATCTTAGCATCCAGAATTTTTTTTTAAAGCAGATAAGTGATTTTTGAGAGGTTGATTCCTACCTACCCTCATTGTCATCCTCCAGATTCTCAGACAGTTTGGCTTTGCATTTCACGGGTGAAGGAGAGTGACTTTTCTTTTCAGCTCCCTCTGCAAGTGCAAAAAAAAAGATCAGAAAGAGATATTCATTCTCAAAAGCTGAGGTTATAATGCTTGAAGTTGGATGATGATGAACATTATTACAATTATGGAATAGGAATGTGTAAGGTATTGGAAAAGTAAATTGAATGCACCTCCATTTTGCTCCAGGAGAAAAATCACTATATTTTCAAGCTTTGTGAAGATTGATTTTTGCCTCCTGTGTTATTATCACAGTTAGGAAGAACCCTAGGCTGAACTAAAATGCCATATTTCAAAAGTTATTAAACTGTACATATCAATAATTATATTCTCTCTTTTAATCTATATTATGCCTATACCATTGGATTATTATATGTATTTTACAGTAATTACTTTATAAAGTATGGACTTTATTTGCTAAGCACTGTGAAACACATTCTGTTTTAAATGTATAATAGTACTGTCTGAATGTACAGAGTTTCAAAAACTTCATCCAATTTTAGATGAGGGACAGTGACCTCAGTCTGGAATATCGAATCAGTTTATGGGCGATAGTCTAACTATGCCTGATTTTTAGTAAGATATTGAAAACCCTATTTTTTCAGATGACAGTAAGAAATCAATAATCTTGGGCAAATTTGTAATTCATCAGAACTGAGTTATGTCAAACTGTGCTGGACACTGGAATAAAAGTGCAGCTGATAAAAATACTGGACACATATTATAATAGATTAATGGACAATTTAATTAATTACTCATCTTACTCTGATACTACAAAATCTAGATAGATAGATAGATAGATAGATAGATAGATAGATAGATAGATAGATAGATAGAT